GCCATTGAGTCGATTCTGACTCATAGCAACCCTATAGGACAGAGAAGAACTGGAGGATTTGAACTGCCAACCTTCTGATTAACAGCCAAAGCTCTTAACCACTACGCCACCAGGGCTCCCCTTATTGTACTACTTGCATACAAAGCTGGGTTTGAATTCCAGCTTCATCTCTGACTGGTTGTGTGACCTCAAATCTCTTCCTTAACCTCTCCAAGACTCAGTTTCTTCATTGGTGAAATGGAGGTAACGATGACCACCTCACAAGGTTGTTCTAAAGGCAGAGAGTTTGTATGAGGAACGAGTTTCCAAACTGTTTTTAGAAAAGACATTCATCTGAGTTCCGTCTAATGAAGATCACAGCTTATTAGAAGTCATATCCCCAGATCCATGCATAATTTCTTCGAGGAATAAAATCTCAAGAGTGACAGTAAAGAAGAAAGATAAGTTTCTTTATCAGGGGATCAGAATTCCTAGTGGTGAAATGGCCCAAAATGATAGAATATTCTAGCCTAGAAATGCATGGTGCTTCAGGACGTGTTCCCCATGTGGAACCTGATGGAGCTGACCTGATGTTTATGCCAAAGCATTCCACCAAGACGATTGAGCTCCACAGGGAAACAGAGGCCAGTGAAGACAACTCCGAAAAGCCAGCCAGAAACAGTCTGTTTTCACTCTAGCCAGATCAGAATGCCACACAGATTTGGAGACAGAGATCAAACGAAAGCCCTGGAATCACAGGCCTGAGCAGAGAAAAACACGTCTATTATTGTCAGATCTGATCTAAAGGTATTTTCTCCAAGAAAGCTATGAACACGAGGAGAAAAACCACACAGGTTTTCAAGTGCATGTATGTGTGTTATCATTTTACGTTTTTGGATGAAGGGGGATGAATGAGCCCCTATGATTTTCTGTACTCCCCTAAAATGCATTCCAGGCTTAGCAAAGTAGCCTAATACTCCAGCCACTAATCAATTGCATACTATTTTTTGTTGATTTATGGAACTAAACGCATCTATACACATAATAAAACCCTTAAGGAACTCTGAATAGAAAGGAAAGAAATATGGCTCTACCACCACCCTAAAACAGCCACAGAAAGAATAAAGCCCAAGTGGACATTTTGCGTAAGTTTAGGGCAGCACGTGGAGGAGGTAGCAGCAACAGTGTAAAACTGGGCAGAACATTTGAAGAATATGTAGATGATACTCACCTATAGAAATCAGGAAAACTGACCTTTAATAATTGTTGGTATCCATCAAAATTCAGCAACAAGCCAGCAGATATTTTCCCCAAAGACATAATGTATTTGCCTGATTTTATCACCCTAGATATTATATTTATTAATACAGGATTTACACATATATCAATATAATTATACAGATAAGTATAACCCAGTGCTCAGGACCACACCAGCTCATGACTGTACTCCATAAATGTTGAACTAGGATGAACTTTCAGAAATCAATAGGGACATTTGCCTCTGCCTAGAGGAGTAGCTAACACATTGAATTAAACTATTTGTTTTAAATGCTGTGATAGAGCTGTATCCTGAGTACAGAAGGCACCTAATCATCCTAGCCCAGCTTTCTGGAGGAAATCCTAATACAGAGGGAACCTACCCATCCTAGTACAGCTTCCTGGAGGAAATCCTAAGTACAGAGGGCACCTACCCATCCTAGCCCAGCTTCCTGGAGGGAATCCTAATACAGAGGGCACCTACCCAACCTAGCCCAGCTTCCTGGAGGGAATTACGACCACATTGTGTTCTGAAAGTTAAGCAAGAGCCTGGGTGAGCGGGTTACAAATGAACAAATTCGAGCACATGCTGATGTTCACCATTGGCCAGTTTCCTTTGCTGGTTGCTCTGTGTGATAGCAGAAGGTCCAAGAGTGATGCTCCTGAACCGAAAGATGAAGTCATGAAGGTCGGTTAACCGGACTCTGTATGGCGGTCACTTGCACTGACGCTGGTTCCCTCATCCCAGCCGTACCTGTAGAAGCACTCCACAGAACTGGGAAAAGGAAAATGGATGGGATGGCAAGAATATGTCAGCATTTGAGAGTAAACAACCCACAACTTACGCCCCCATTGACAGCGTCAGCTACGTAGTCTCTTAGGGGAAAGACAGCGCGGTGAGAGAAGTCCCCAGGCGGCGCTTGCCTGGCCCATCGGTGTAGGTCTCCGCGCGCTTGTGGTCCAGCAGAGCCAGCGGGACCAGGGCAAACAGAGGAAAGGCAGTGCTGGGAGGGGCCTGCGGGAAGCCTTGTTTTGAACATACTCTAAATTATCACATGTCAGGAAATTCTGGCTAGCTGGCATCTCTCAAAAGCCCAGTTTCTCAAACTTAAGCAATGGACAGGCCCCTTTAAAGAGAAATAAATTATTCTAAGCATGTATTTTTAGGTTCCAGTTTGAGAAACACTGACCTGAGAAACTGAAAATATATTCAGGGAAAAAGGGCGCATTTACATTGCAAATGATCTCTTCCAAAGTGATTCATCTTCATAACTGCTAAAAGAAATTCTGTTGGGTTAGCGCTGAAACAGAAACACAATTTTTTTTTAAAAAAGCATCTTTTTGCAAGCAGTCTGAGCGTTCTAATTTAAGAATGTCTGAGATAGGAGCTCTATTTATAAGACTTGAAATAAGTTATCCTAAGTGAAGGCGTGCTAAGAGAAGAGAGTTGAAGCTTGGTTCAAGAACAAAGGGGTTTCATGAAGAGAGAGGCGTGGTTTTGAGGGGAGTACAAGTTTCTCATTCAAACTTCCTAACTTCCACTGACTCGTGACCCACTCCCACGGAGAAGGATCTGCTATAAGGAGTGAGTAAAACTAAACCTGTTGGATCACCTAATTCTTCATAAGACAGATGGCACGCAAGGCAGGGATTCTCTGTGACTTAATAAGGAAGTATAACATCATGGGGGTGGGAGGGAGGTGGCAGCATTTCCTGTCCTCAGCATGTAACAAGAAGAGCAACACAGAGCACAGGGCCCAGAGCAAAGGAACAGTGTATGAGCGGAACCTGCAGACAGTAGGTCCATGCCCAACATCTAGATGAGAAGACCACATGTTGAGGCGCTCACAGGGGGCCCATGTTAAGATAGCATAGAGCTTGATGGCAGTGACCTGAGACCCGTCATTTTGCACAACAGAGAAGAGGAAACCATAGCACCCAGGAGAGGTTTTCCCTTGCCCCCTGGGACTCAGAAGGGGAAGATTTCTAGATAGGGCTCCACTTCCATAATGAAGCCAGTAGAACACTAGTTTGTGTTCCCTTTCAGACCTTCATCCCTCACATGACCACGCTGCAGTGGCTGTGTTAGTTTCCCAGAGCTGTGGAAACAAAGCAGGTGACCGGAAACAACAGATGTGCTGTCTCCCCTTTATGGAGGCAATAATCCGAATTCAGAGTGTTGGCAGGGCCACGCTCTCCGCAAAGGCTCTAGGGAAAGATCTGTCTTGTCTTTCTCCACTTTTGGTAGCCCCAGGTATTCCCTGGCTTGTAGCTGTAGCATAACTTCATTGCCCCATGGCCATTTTCCTTCTATCTGTATCTCTGTGTCTTTTCTCCTCTTTCACAGGATGCGGGGCAGATTGCTTTAGGACCTACCCTACTCCAGTATGACCTCATGCTAACTTAGCTGATAACAGACCCAACTCCAAACAAAGCCACATTTACAGGTACCAGAGTTAGGACTTCAACATAAATTTGGGGGGAACATAATTTAATCCATAACTGTAGCCTAGGGAAACCTGGGTAATACAAGTAATTTTATCCCTTAAAGGAGATAAAAGGAGCTCTACAAAATGCCCCTGAGTGGCACAAATGGTTTGCTCTTGGCTGATAACCAAAATGTTGGCAGTCTGAATCCACCCAGTGGTGCCTTGGAAGAAAGGTCTGATGATCTGCTTCCATAAGATTGCAGCCAAGAAAACCCTACGGATGCAATCCTACTCTGCAACACAAGTGGTCACCATGAGTCAAAACTGACTCAACAGCAACAGGTTTGATTTTATATATATATCATATATTATATATATATTATATATATATATATATATATGATAGTAAGACATTTATAATAGTTACAATTTATTGAGTACCCATTTTTGATAAAGATATTGTATCAAATGCCTTATGTACATATTGTTAGAACCTTTTCAGTGTCAATGACAGAAAACTCAACTGAAAGTGGCTTAAACATAAACGGAATTCACATCAATGTATGGCACTGAAAAGATCATGATAGGCCTAGATTCAGTAGTGTTTAATCAGGGTTAAAATTACATAATTAGGTTTATTCTCAGCTTCAGATGCTGTCTTCTCCTCTGGTGGCTCCATCATCAACCTCAAAATGGCAGCCTTCACCCATTACAGATACACATCATTCTTACTACCAGCAAGCCCACTTACATGGACTGCCTCTTCCTTACTGTATGAACGAAGGCTCCAAGATAAGCCCTCACCTGCCTCTTCGGTTCGACATAAATCACGGAACCATCCCAGGGGATTGCTTCACCACCACACCGGAGGATTCAGCTCCATCCATGCCAAATAGACTGGGAACTGGGCAAAGGCACACTGAGAAAAAAGTAGTGTACTAAGGCTAGAAGTAGAATGAATAGACGCTTGGCAGGCAAAACAGCAACTGTTTACTACATACACGTTATTTTACATCTTCAGAATAACTCTGCAGAAAAAAAGAGTCTTCCTTTTTACAAACGGAAAGACTGAATTTTATGGATGTTGAAGATGATTACCTGGTTCATACAGCTTTTAATAACAGTCAGTGATCAAAGCCAAGTCTTGTGACACAAAATTCCGTACATTTTCACTATAATGCTTCCTCTTATTTCAGACCTGGAATAATCCTTGTGATTCAGGTGAGGTTAACACAGGTCTTATTACTCCAGACAATCCTTCCTGATGGTGTCATCTCTGATCCAAATATCATATTGGGAGTATCTTCCAGTTGTTCCTGCTCCAATGCTTTTTTTTTCTCTCTCTTTTCGGCTGAATGCTGTTTGGTGGCTGAGGTGACTATCAGTTTTTAACTTGGTATCTGAGAAATACGACATTTCATCAATCTTTGTGATAGTCTAAAAATAGGATCAACTACACACACATACACACACACATACACAGTCAAAGACCTCAGGTATTTACCTCAGTTCAGAAAACAAACGGAGTTGAGAACTGACTGCTTTGACGGCACAGTGGGGAATTCATACTTTGAATTTCCGCTTGGAAACAGCAGCAAGATTTTCTCATCTTTTCCTCAAAGTTCACAGGCAAAAGGAGGATTTGAAGCCTTCAGTCCAAGTTCAGAATCATTTTTGAGCCATCTTTTCCACTGTCTATGATGACAAAGAAAAGAAGGATTAGCTTCCGTCCTGTGAGAAATTAGAAGACTCAGCTGCTTGGACCAAATCATTCCCATATACTTCAGCTTCTCTCTCAGCAGTGATCAACAGCTGGACCAAAAGACCATACGCAATAAGGAGATGCATGCAGACAGGCACTGCCAACAGTCTTAGATAGTCTAGTCCAATTGGTAAGACGGATCTTGTGATGACAGGCACATTGTATGAATTAAATGTTCCATGTCTTCAAACTAAGATACTCCAACTAACATTTTTAATTCCCATGCTACACAACCTTCTGAATATGATCTGTACAATACAGTTTTGTTAATAGTTTATAAATATAATTGATAACCTTGCTCTATTGCCCTTGACTTTTAACTACTTTGGAGGTTTTATTTTTTTATTGTTGTTGTTTTGTCATCGTTGTTTTTGACGAGACACAAAATATTACTCAATTCAACCAAAAAAAAAGGTGTCTACTAAACTAGAATTTAGGAGACAGGAGATCCTCATCCTGCTTCGGTCACTAACTGCTGTGAGACCTCAGGTTGAGCTGTTTTCTATTTATACAACAGACTGAAGGTTCAGTTAGTCCTGCAATTCAATAAATTCACATCCATTCAGTCAGATACTTGGAGAATTGGGAAGGTAAGAGGGTTTGTACCGGTGTTATATTGTTCATGGATGTCTGTAGTGGGCTGGATGGTGATCTCCCAAAAAATATGCCCACCCTGAACCTATGAATGTGGCTGCGATGGTTAATGTTATGTCTCCACTTGGCTAGGCCATGATTCTCAGTATTATGCAGTCATCCTCCATTTTGTGATCTGATGTAAGGGGTGTTTCCTTGGGGGTGTGGCCTGCATCCAATATATATGGATGTTCTGGCAAGGCTCTCTGTCTCTCAATCCTGTATCCAACTCATCATCTGACATTCTGTTCTTGAGATGTGAACCAGAAGCCTGTCATCTGATCTGCTGATTCTGGGTTTGTCGGCCCCTGCAAACATGTGAGTCGGGAGAAGCCTCCAGCCTGATGCCTGACCCATGAATCTGGGACTTGCCAGCCTCCACAACTGCATGAGCCATTTCCTTGAAATAAATCTCCCTATATATATTTGTATATATATACACTTCACTGGTTTTGCCTCTCTAGAGAATCTAGCCTAAGACAGTGACCTTACTTGGAAATAAGATCTCTGCAGATGTAATTAAATGAAGAAATATTGAGATGAGATCATCCTGGATTGAGGGTAAGCCCGAAATCCAGTGTTGGTGTCCTTATAAGAAAAAGGTACAAGGAAATTTGAGACAGAGACACCCAGAGGAGAAAGCTGGGTGAAGATTGAGGCAGAGATTGGAGTGATGTAGCTATAAGCCAAGGAACACTGAGGGTAGCTGGAATCACCAGACGCTAGGAGAGCGTCTAGAGCATCTCAGAGCTTCTAGAAGGACCCAACTCTGCCAACACCTTGATTTTGGACTTCTGAACTCTGGAACTGTGAGAGGATAAATTTTTTTTGTTTTAAGCTGCTCAGTTTGTGGTAGTCGCTTATGATAGCACTAGGAAATGAATACAGTATCCTTTCAGATACAAACTCGTTCAAATTACTTCAGATATGAAGGCTGTTATTTTTATAGTATTTCTTTGTAAGTAGTAGTTTTAAACTTGTTACAGTTAACATTTCGTTTATTGCTATTTACACTTCCTTAAATAGAGGAAAGACGGTTCACTACCTTAGCAGTTCTGGTTCAGGTGATGTATAATTTGCACAAACAACTCTCTCAATAATGTGAATCTTGCAACGTAACTATATGGTGTATTTTTGTCATAATTCCTAACGTATTTTCAAATAGATTAAGTCTGAGAATCAAATTTTCCAATATACTTGTGTTCTGTTTCTTTATATAATAGATACTAATTTAGTCAGAAGGAGCCCTGGAGGCACAGCAGTTAAGTGCTCAACTGCTAACCTGAAGTTTGGCAGTTTGAACCTACCCAGCAGCTCTCTAGAGAAAGACCTGGCTGTCTGTTTTTGTAATGATTACAGCCAAGAGGACCCTAGAGGGCAGTTCCACTCTGTTACATGTCTCTGTGAGTGAGAATCAACCAGGTGGCACAACGACAACAATTTAGTCAAGTGCATACAAAACGAGTTTAAGGAAACGTAATAAAAACTGGTTTCTTGTATACAGCTTCACCGTCTCTGCCAGTGCCTAATATCCGAAGCAGGTAAGGGTCGATGAGAAGAAGGGTTGTGGTTGTTAGTTGGCTTGGAGTTGGTTCAGACTCATGGTGATCTTATGTATAACAGAATGAAGCGTTGTCCAGTCCTGACTGTAGGTATGTTTAAGTCCATTGTTGTGCTATTGCATCAATTCATCACATTGAGTGTTTCTCTCAGGCTACGAAATTGTTCCTATTTGCAAAGCTGCTACATCAAAGGTATTTTTTGTAGGAATATATGAAATATCAAAGTTTCTTTATTGTACATTTGAACGTCCAAGTAGTAAATCTAAACATGTATTAGTTTGCCAAAGAAACCAGAAAGTGAACATTTGCAGAAAAATTCAACATTTAATGAACAACACTGTAGGCAACATGCTGTGGATAGCGATAAATTTAAAAAAAAACTTCCTAATGACAAACTCAAAATCAAAGCTAACATAATTACTCTATTACAGCATTTTTTCACAGTCAGACAAGTATAAAACCAACCATCAAACGATGTAATCAAGCCATATCAGATATGCGAAACCCCCATCATGAGAAATCCCATTAGATGGAGCAAAAAGTGTGCCTGCACCAGTGTAAATGGTAGAAAAATATTATGAGGTTGGACGTAGGAATCTGAACTTAATACTTATTATTCTGAGTTAAGTCAAATAAGCTACAAATGATGAGTCTTCTCTGTTCGTTTGTTTGTTACTAAATACAGTATAACCTGTGACAGTCAGAACCTGTGTAAGAAGGAAAACTGTCAGAAGGAAAACTCAAATATTTTCTGCTAAAATGAGCTCTACAAAAGTTGTAAGACTGCACCCTATCAAATGTGGAAAACTTTCAAGACCCAGAAAAACAAGGCAGTCCCATCATGTTCTGGCTCTCACAGGCTTCACTGTAACTTGTAATAGTGATTATCCAGTCCAATTTGGACAAACAACTCTCTCGATAATGTGAATCTTGCAACATAATTATATGGCATATTTTTGTCATAATTCTTAATGCATTCTCAAACAGTCAGGCAATACCCTAAATCTTACATGGCCAATCCCTTCAGTAATTTTTAGGAGATTTCCCTTTTGATTCTTTGTCAACTAGAAATGCTAAGAAAAAACTAATGCATAAAAATACCTTAAAATTATATCCACAATACTTACGAAAAATAATTATTCTACAATAAATTGAATATTCAATTTTGGATTCTATGCCAGTATCTTCTCTGTTGTTACTGTTAGGTGCTGTTGAGTTGGTTCTGATTCATAGTGACCCTATGTACAACAGAACTAAACACTGCCCGGTCCTGCTCCATCTTCATAATCTTTGTTATGCTTGAGCCCATTGTTGCAGCCACTGTGTCAATCCATCTCCTCGAAGGTCTTCCTCTTTTTCTCTGACCATCTACTTTACTAAGCATGATGTCTTTCTCCAGGGATTGGTCCCTCCTGATAATACGTCCAAAGTATGTGAGACGAAGTCTCACTATCCTCCCTTCCAAGGAGCATTCTGGCTGTACTTCTTCCAAGACAGACTTGTTCATTCTTCTGGCAGTCCAGAAGAATATACATTCAGTATTCTTCATCGACACCACAATTCAAAGGCATCGATTCTTATTCAGTCTTCCTTATTCATTGTCCAGCTTTCACATGCATATGAGGCTACTGAAAATACTATGGCTTGAGTTGGGTGTACATTAGTACCCAAAGTGACATCTTTGTTTTTTAACACTTTAAAGAGGTCTTCTGCAGCAGATGTGCTCAGTGCAATACATCCTTTGATTTCTTGACTCCTGCTTCTATGGGTGTTGATTGTGGATCCAAGTAAAATGAAATCCTTGACAACTTCAATCTTTTCTCTGTTTATCATGATGTTTATTATTGGTCTGGTTGTGAGGATTTTTGTTTTCTTTATGTTGAGGTGTAATCCATACTGAAGGCTGTAGTCTTTAATTGTCATCAGTAAATGCTTCAAGTCCTTTTCACTTTCAGCAAGCAAGGTTGTGTCATCTGCAGAATCAATTATGACGAAGCCTCCTTTTAGAACTTGTTAGAGAGACAGAAGAGCATCTTCTCTAACAAGCTCTAAAAAGAGGGCTTTGTCATAATTTTTTCCAGATCTCTGTAAATATGGGATCATTATCAGAATTCACTATGTATATGTACTTTGGAAAAATGTTAAATGCTTGTCTTAGTTATCGAGTGCCGCTATAACAAAAATTTCACAAGGGGATGGCTTTAACAAACAAAAGTTTATTCTCTCAGAGTCTAGGAGGCTAGAAGCCTGAATTCAGGGAGCCAGCTCCAGAGGAAGGCTCTCAGTCAGCTCTGGGGGAAGGTTCTTGTCATCAATCTTCCCCTGGTCTAGGAGTTTCTCAGTGCAGGGACCCCAGAGGGCACTCAGCTCTCTCGCCTCTATGGCTTGGCAAGCCTAGCTCCACCAATAAGTGTCTGGAGGCACTCCACTCCTCCAGGGAACCTCCTGCCCAAAGGCACTCAGCTCTCTTGCTCTGTGGGTCAGCTCTTGCACCTTCTTGAGCCAGTCTCCCGGTTCTGCTGCAGCCGCTTCTCTGCCGCTGCTTCTCAACATCTGCACCATCTCCCATCTCCAGTGTTACAGTTTTCCTCACTTCCTTCTGAGCCCTCACCGGAATTGTCTTTGAGGTCCGTAATTCCATCGAGGCAATCTAGGCTTTACTATTAGGCACCTTAAAACTCTTTCAGCCTCTATCCATTTGCAGCTTCAAAACCACTTCCACAGTTTAGGTATCTGTT